AGAGAGAGAGAGAGAGAGAGAGAGAGAGAGAGAGAGAGAGAGAGAGAGAGAGAGAGAGAGAGAGACAGAGACAGAGAGAGAGTCGCCTGGTTTAGGGCGCCGCAGCTACTCGTTGCCAAACTCACCTGACTCCCGTTTGTAACTTATAGAGAGAGAGAGCTGTGGAAGCCCCATATGCCATGTGGCAGCCTGAAGATTACCGCTGGCAAGGAGGGCCAAGTGGCACGTGGCACGGCAGGGTCTCTCTCTCTCGGGCTGTCTCTCTCTGTCTCTCTCTCACACACACTATGGGCGTAACTCACGTGTGTGACACGCGCACGTGTGAGAGAGAGAGAGAGAGAGAGAGAGAGAGAGAGAGAGAGAGAGAGAGGGAGAGTATTTATCATAGGCATCTGGACTTTCTTGCGGAGGTGCATATAATTGTCACTCTCCACAAACACGTCCAGATCCAGGATACAACAAACTACAAACTACAAACTACAAAAAAAAGCTTCTTTTTTTAATATACCCCTCCGACTCTCCCAGGCTCCAACTTATTCCACTCTCACGGGCGGCTTACCTTGTCCAGGCCCTCTGATTTAAAAAGTATGGCGGGCCTGGCGCCTACCTTGAAGTCGTTCAATGGAAATTTATGCAGGGGGGAGCAGTTTGCTTGCGCAGCTTTCGACATCAAAGAAATGTTCTGCAACCTTCCCCACAAGTCCATCTTGAAGGCCATAAGGTGGGTAATGGATTTCTGGTCCATCCGTAGTGTCTCCGGAGTAATTATCAAAACCAAGGGGGTTGGAGCTAAGCTCAATTTCCCAGATAGGCTGGAAGTACTTATCAAAACCAAGGGGATTTGAGCTAAGCTCAATTTTGGGAATTCCCAGATTGGCTGGAAGTCTGTTTCCCTCAGCGTCATACTATAGTTCGTTCAATTTGAGCTGGATCACACTTATTCCAGATTTTGTGGACAGGTTTTGCAACAAAGAATCGGCATTCCCATGCGAAAATCGTCCAGCCCAGCACTGACATGTTTGTGATGCGCTTTTAACGAGTTTAATTTCTTATCATCGCAGGGTAGCGGCAGGCGTCTGGTTGGGGGAATTCGGATGGTGGATGACATCTCGATGTTGGTTCGTTACCTAGTAGGGCAGGTTTCGTCTCAGACGTTTCTGGCAACGGCTGAAGCTATTTTGGAAAAGTTTAAGACTTGCTACGACAATAACCTGGTTTTGGAGCAGACAAGCAACAAAGATTGCTGGTATTTTTTGGGTTGTGTCATGCAGGTTTTGGAATGGCCTTGCACAAAAATCAGAGGAATTATCAGGACATGGGGTTGTGTTTCCAGAATCTGCAGGACTTCGACTCATACTGCAGTAGACAGCAAAAAATGGCTGTCATTGGGTAGTGTCTGCACAGGGCCAGGGCTTACACTACGATGGCGAAACTGAACTGGCTTTTCTGTTCACTCTCAAGATTGAACTCAGGAAGAGGAATTTCCCGGAGAAATTCTTTGATAACACCCTGCGTAATTTCTCTGCCAAATTCGCCAATGCCTGGGATGACTGGGTTGGCACACTGACCGGCTGGGATAACTTGGTAGCCGCAAGGGATTGGCTAACTGTGTCTAAGCAGGGGGCACATCAAGGTAATGATAGCAGGCAGTTTCGGTTTGAAGCATAGTTAGGGCGCAGGTTTATTTTTATTTGTTTAACTTTGCGACTATGGGAATCGGTACAGCTGAGGAGGAGGGGCATTCTTCGCCGGCTCCGCATTTTTCCCTTCTTTTCCTTTTTGGTTTTTGGTTTTTGGTTTTTGTTTTTTTCATTTTTGTTGTGTTTTTGTTGTTGTTGTTTGTTTTTTGATAAGAACGTTCTCTGGAGAAGAGTTTTTTCGATGATGGGTCTGTGTTAGGGACGAGTGGGCAAGTGGTGCCTCAGGATGTGGTGTCTTGGACCAGTAGGCCTGCGGCCACTTGTGAGTTTTTGAAGTGACTTGGACTCTACGCTTCAGTTTTTCTTTTCAGGCCTGGACCCCACTGGCCGGCGGCCTGGAAACGTTTAGGCGATGTAGTGTTTTCCAGAGCCCACAGGTGTTGGAAACTGGTGTGGAAAGTAGGCCCGGAAAGGAATTCCAGACCCCACCGTGCTTGGAAGCAGGTCGCGGAAATGCTGACGGGGCGTTTCTACTTGGTCGGCGATCTGGAAATTTAAGGCCGACCGCTTTCCATTCCCTTTCCAAGGAGGCATCCAGGCGAGTAGGGGAGGGGGGATGTCCATTCGTTTCCAGAAAACGGCTGGATGGCGTGGTCGTGGACAGTTTTTTCAACCAGCATTCAAAATTTGAATTTTTGGCAGGCTGAGGACGAAGGCTAGCCATGCAATCGCGACATTCATTTCCTGCCCGTGCATAGGGAGCATGAGCAGCGATTCTGATAGCTATCTGTCGCCGACACCTCCATTAAACCCTCCTACCCTGCGTAGTCCGTGCATGATGCCATCGCTCATCTCCTTCGCGCATGCAGGGCGCGAGGCCTGTCTACGGGGAAGCCGTTTCGGGTGGTGTCGTCAGGCGGTCTCTGGCCAGGGCTTGCATTCGGAAGCTGCGGGTTGTGTGGCGAGCAGCATGTGTGGAATGCGCGGATGAGAACCTGCGCTGCCGGTGTGTGCGTGCACACACAAGTACGAACCGATGTTGTTCTCCCGTGTTGTGGCCGTGACACATTCCGTGCTCCGTCGTCTACCTCCCTTGCCATCCTCACTTCTTCGTCTACCTCGCCAGGGCACTCGTTTGTCCTCGCCAGAGAGCAACAGCAGCACATGTGGGCAGGGATGGGCTGCACATGAGGGTGTGGTTATATAATCCTCATCCACACACTCGCCACATGTCAGTCGTCGAACGCTATCGTCGCCTGTGTGGATGTGACCGGTGCCATCAAAGCTGTTGTGTGGATGTTGTCACTAATAACCACTGCAGCAGAGGCGGGCGACGAAAAAAAACATCTTGGGCTGTTTTCAAAGGCGTGGTTGCAGTCGTCATCATCCTTTTGACGGCTTTCTTCTTGTCGGTCGTGTTTTGGTGTGTGATTTTATACTTCTGCTGCCGTGGGTGGAGATAGCACCGAAGGGGTGTTTTGGAGGAAGCAGTACGTGGTGTTGGGTGTTGCCTTCATTGTCGGTGCTTCGCGGCGAAATGGAGTCGTATCCGTCGATGACAGATCCCTGTGCAGGCATTGATGAGGGATTCCAGTCCCAGGACATGACTATGCAAGGATCTGTCCCGTACTCCTCCCCTTCACCGGCGACGGCGCAGTCCTTCGGTGGCCAGTTGCACGAGGGTGTGCGGGTCGGGCTGATTCATGTCCCACCTGCTCCACTGCCCTCTCCATCGCTGCTTCATGCAGCAGGTGCACGTCAGCGGTTCGCTGTTCGGCCACCTCTACACACGCTTCACACGGGCCCCACGCACACGGGCCAAGCCTCATATTGCACACAGGTTGGAGCTGGGTATGGCATGCCTGGTCCACACACGTTCCCAGTTGGCGGTGGGTATGTCATTGTCGTGCACATGTACCCCACCCAGCACACTGTGGAAAGGGGTGGAGCAATGTGGGATGATTGGCAGTGGTCCCCGCAGTGCAGACAGACGTCGCAGGCGCTGCATGGCGGAATGTCCACCCCATCGCCCATGTCAGTCAGGCGGTCTGTTGTCGAGCCTTCGCCTTCAATGGTAGATGTGCAAGGAGAGGATATGGATGAGGGATGGCCCCGTGCACAATGCTGCTTCGTCGCCTGCCGGTTTGCAAGGCCGTTCCTCTGCTGCCGACGAAGATCTGTATGTTGACGACGACGAGGGTGAAGGTAATGGCGGTAACAGTGATGCACAGAACTCCGACAACGTGCACGACGACAGGGACAATGTTGGGCAGACAGATGGGGGGCAGAATGTGGTCGGGCCCCAAGGCAGCAGGTGTGGAAAAAAGCGGGGGGGGGAAGATGGTGCTGCCAAAAACAAAAAACAGAACATCCCGTGGAGCTTGGAGGAGAGGATCACACTGTCGAGATTGATGGTCGAGGATGATGCCCTCATGGCCGACGCTGAGGGGCCATCATAGGTTCAAGAAGAAGGAGCAGTATGAGTGGGTGCATGATCGAATGGCGGATCACGGGTTTCCGCACAGGTCGGCGGAGGATTGGCGTACGAAGTGGCAGGGCATGATGGCTGCGGCAAAGTTGATTCCCGACAAGTGTGAGAATCCTTGGGGCAAACCTTCATACGGGGACATGACTACGGAGTAGTGGAAGGCGGAGCAGGTTCCAGTAGGCTTTGAGAAAGCGTTGTGGGAAGCCATGGAGTGGCAACTGAATCGGCCCTCCATCAAGTGTGACAACACGCTGGCGTCCGAGAACCTGTCGGGTAACGAGGGAGGGCCATCAACGGAGACCGGTCCACCACAGCCCTCGTCGAGGAAAAGTGGTTCCAACAGTAGAGCAACTGAAAATTCCGACAGTGCAGCGAAGACGCAGAGGACGAATACCGGTAAAGCGAGGATGGACGACACGATCAGCGGTGGGACAGTATTGGCCCTATTGAGGAGGGCGATGGAGGACGCAACACGGTCGTACAACGGAGGTCTGCACTCTGGCCAAGGCAACATCGGAGGCCGGCACAGCGATCGCAGCGAAGATTGGTGACGTCGCAGATGCCATGCATGGGGGGAACACCATCCTCGAAATGCTTCTGGGGGTTCTTGCGAGGCGCAGGGGTGGGGGAACAGCGGTACACAGTGGAGGGCGGACAAAGACCCCTCGTCACGTTAGCACTCGAGGATAACAGGTCATAAAAAAAAAGGAGCACAAATAAAATATCAATCACTCATACGCACATATATATACGACAACTTTTGTTTCCCCGTCCCAGCATCCACGCCGAGTGTCCGGTCCCTTTTTTCGGTACCGTGAGCCGGTGTATCCCGAAATATATAAATATATAAATTTATATATATTTCGGGACACACCGGCTCACTGTACCAGAATAAGGGATGGGACACCCGGTGTGGACAGCGGCATGGGAAACAGTGTCGGCCTCTGTCTATATATACGTGGGCAGTTGTGGCTTTCTTTGGCAGCACTAATGTTGGTGGGCGCTCCTTCAGTCCATGAGGTTGGTTGCACTGCGCTTTCCGTAGTGGTGGGAGGAGATGTGTGCATGCGAAGGCAGAGAGAGAGAGAGAGAGAGAGAGAGAGAGAGAGAGAGAGAGAGAGAGAGAGAGAGAGAGAGAGAGAGAGAGAGAGAGAGAGAGAGAGA